CCATAAAATGTGTTGTTGTTGTTGTTTTCTAGCCTCAGGCCACAAAGAAAAACAATCAATTATAAGTAATAAAGTTTGAAATGTTTTTTTTCAAGGCCTGCAAGTGTTATTAAACTGCAAAAAAAAAAAAAAAGATTTTACCAAAATCGTGCAGTGATGAAACAGAATAAGGGTAAACTTGTCAATTTAGGAAATATTTGCACTTCCGTACCAATAATTCTTTAAAATACCATCAAAATGTATCTTTTAATATGATTGAAATTGTATTTATATGCTGTATTATGAAAACTTTCCTAAATAAATCTATCAAAAGAGTCAAATCCCTGTCAAGCTGGGGACACATTCTGTCAGCAGGACTGCATTTATGCTCTTTCTCTGTGGTTCAGAGTGTGGGTGGCAGTGTGGGCTCAATATAAAACCGACAACTTTCTGCCTTTATAATGTGATACAGTTTTTATTTTATTTATTCGCATACTTGTTGCACATCATAAACAGAAAAACTTTTCTCATCAACTGATCAACATCTAGATTCTAACTTGTGATCGTTTCATTTACAAAACAGTCTTGCAATGATGTGTCCACCAGCTGCCAGTCATTTTCATGTATTCGTAGCAAAAGTAACAGCTGAAGTTCACAGAAAATCCTCCAATCATAAGGAAAAAGTTCTGTTTCGTCTCTGGCTGGCAAGCTGAAGGCAACTAACAACTCATTGCTGGAAATAATAAGGCCATTGCAGCTGCTCTAGTGAAAACCCACCATCTGCAGGGCTCTGTGGGGGCTGGAAAAGACCTGGTGAGATGAATTGCTGTAAGTAGGCAGTGCACACATGTTGAATAGCAAATTATTTAACAGTTGTTTATCCTGGTGAGTCAGTTTGTGCATTCATAAATTCATGACCAAATCCCGACTCAAGCTGTGTTGTCTCAGCATAATTAGCCCTCATTTTAATAGTTAAACCTTAAAATAGACTTTAAGAGCTGACTGTCTGCACTGTAGAACAAACTTCTAAAGCAAGGAAAGAACTGAAGGTTCAAGGAGAAGATGAATAATCCAAATGTCTTCCCTTTTTTTCTTAACCCAAGACATTGTATAAATGATTTAAAAATGGTCAAATTCCCGTCTTTAAGATTTTGCCCAGTGTCTGGACAGTCTGGCAAGCATTTGTGGTGCAAGCTGAAAATGTTCCTTAAATTTGAGACTAAATACATAAAATAGTACAGAATTTTTTGAGTTATTCCTCTTTCTTATTTTCAAAAGAGAAGAAAAAAGGATATTTAACATAATTTGATTGAAAAACACCCATGTAAAACTGCTCCAACACAACAATTGGCACATCTATATATTTACGAACTTAGGTTGTGTCATTCTAAAAAGGTTGGGAATCACTTTTCAGTAACAGTGTTGAGTAATACAAAGAAAGAAAGAGACACAGAGACAGACAGGGAGAGAGATACAGACACAAACATAACCAAGCTCAGATGAAAAAAAAAAGTTAAGACTTTATTTAGTCAAGGAGAAACTTTTTTATTAACAATGATTTATGAAAAGTGCCTACTTGATGATTCATAAATGAAATAGCACTTTAAAAATAGTATTTATATGAACTGGATAATTTGACAAACGATGAGGATCATTTCCAGGCTCATAGTTAATTTTTTTTACCACAATCAATTAATTATGTTAGCTTCAGTTGTTATGAAAACACTATATATCAAAAGTAGTTTGACTTCACCTAAACGCCTTAAAATTGACTTTGTCTCTGAGAACTTCCTACTGTTTCTGACACTCCCACTTCAGCACAACTTCACAGCAATGCTTTTCAACAATGCTCGGCTGCAGACTGAGCTCCAGGGAGTAGCTTTGTGCAAAAAGGCGTTGCTTTGTTCCAGGAAGTGTTTAGGCGGCTCCACATGGCTAACACAGGAGATTCAAGGATTTCTCAAACATGCATGAATGAGTGGAAGCATCACTCTGTGTGTGTTTTTGGTAAGGGACTGACATAACATGGATATAATGCTAAAAAATGTATTTGCATAGTACCCCCCTCCCTTAAACACTTTCAGAGGGAGTCCTTGCATCGTCCGAACAGGGCTGTGAGTTGCGCATGCTGTTTTACAATGAATAACAAATTAGGAAGCACTTAAATCCAAGCTCTGTGACCTCGGACACCAATCTGTTTGCAATCTCCCCCGAGGAGATCCGATTTGTGACTTTGTTTGGTGAAGTGTCTCTGAGCTTAAATCCACCTTGTCTGTGACTTTTCTTTTCAAAGCTTGTACTCATGTTGCCCATAATCACCTAACATTTCCCTCTAAACTGTTCTGCATTCAGTACCAGCGCCTCGGGCTGCCTACATGTCCCAAAGGCTCGGCTAGAACTCCTCGAGCACTTTCATGTGCTGACGTGTTTGAACTGAAAACTTCCAGTCTGTCAGCACTTCACTCTTTCCCCATAGTCTCTCCTTTCTTCCTCTCTGTAGCTCAGCGCACCTCTGACTTCACAGAAGTCAGCATCTTTCACATACAGTACACTGTTTATCATAACCCTGTGGCAACATTGTACTGTATCCTTTACTGATGGGAATCTGTTAGGATTTCTCCCGTTTCCCTCAGGTAGCACAGCAGAACGGTGGTTTTGGCTAGAGCTGTTTTATCTGAGTGCATTTTTATGCAAATAGTCTAATAGGTTGAACACAAACATGTGCCCTTGAGACAGGCTTTTGACCTTTGCAAAATTAGGGGCTTCACAAAATCACACACTTGCACAGGCTATATGTCCTTTCCTAGCTCATTTAAAAGTGTCCGTAGACCTCCCCTCCCCCAACCTGAGCTCTGATTGACTCGACAAGCTTAAAAAAAAACGGTTAAGATGAAAAACAGAGAAAACAAAATGCAAGTGTTTGAGGTCTCACATTGCCAAAAGCACAACTAATAAGATTTTGCGAACCTTGACCACCCCGCAGGGCAGCGACGGCGAAGCCGGGCCAAGAGGACAGCAGGGGATGTTCGGCCAGAAAGGAGACGAAGGACCCAGAGGGTTTCCGGGGCTACCGGGACCCGTCGGACTGCAGGCAAGTCTCCATCAAATCTGCCGCTTCTCTACGCACAGTTGCATCTTTTATCTCTTATTTTGTAAACATATCACTTCTAAGTCACGCTGAACGTTACCCCTAGGGTACGCGCACATTACTTTTCTCTTGTCTGCGCCGCCTGAAGCAGTTTGATTTCCTCCACACTCTTTAAACCTATGACTTTTCATCTCTCCTATTTACATCACATCAAAACAAAGCATATTTTATTAATGCAGCTTTGACTTCCAATAGCACTTTGTTTAGCTCCGGGGTAAATAATGCTTTACCCCTTCAAGGACTTTGCCTGGTATAGACCATTCTAAAAAAAACATTTTGCATTTAAAGTTTTCTGTTTATGGTGGAGGATGGAAGGTTTTTTTTTTTCAGATTACATTATTATAATGGGGTAAACAACTATCCTGCAGCAGTGCTTTTAAATTTAAATGACTACCACAGGTGTTTGAGCTGACATTTTAAGGAAAAGTCTAGTTAAAACCCTTATTTTCCAGAATTTTTGTTTAAAACAAGTCTGACAATGGCTACAGTGTGAGTTTCCAAGAGGATCTGATTCATCATGTGGTTTTCATGTCAGAGATAATTAAAGAGAATAATCAGAGGGTTTTTCATCAATAACTGATTCAGGGTTTTTTTTCTTCAACTCAACACTCATTGATCTGTGTTTCTTTTATTTTTAATGGTCACAGCTCATTGATGTCTCTTGTGATCATCGGAAAAGGAACGACACATTTACCCATTTACAAATTAAAGCATGAAAAAAAAAGCCCTGAACTTTATTCTCCTTGGTTCAGTCCATTCTGGGTTCATGTAGATCTAATCCTGAGTCTAGAATGAACCACTGTATAACTTATTATATCATTTAATGACAATAAGATTTTTGTAATCATTGACTTTATCTGATCTTTATGGAGTTGGCTTTCATGGAGCTGTTTAGGGAACCGGGTGTTTGTTAAAACCCAAGCAAGAAATGGTTTTAAGTAAAGATTATCTTTATTTATTTATTTGCTGTAATGAATTATATTCAAAATAAAAGCACCACATTGACAGAGAGGGAGAAAAACTGAAATAGCAGGATTGATCCCATCACCATTGTATCATAAATGTCAGTACAGACGTTGATATTGATACTATTGATATTTGAATCAATGTAATGGCCTCTAACGGAAGGACCAGTATGCATAAACGGAAGAATTATTGGATTAAGGTGGTCTATAGGATCTCTGTTTGATGTACAAACAATGTAATTGTGTTTTTTTAAAGATCCTAAGGTACATAATTCAGTTATGTGACCATTAAGAGCCAACTAGTAAAATCTACTCCAGCAGAAGCTAATATATCACTCAGAAACAAGAATGTAAAAATGTCAAATGATACTTTAACCATAGCTGTAAACTTGCTTTGTTTTACTTTGATTAACAGTATACTTTTAGGTTACTGCTTTCTTTTCTTGACTAAATATCAAACCTGTAAAAGAAGAGTAGAAGGTCAGTGCACCGACTCATGGGCTGAAGTTAAGGAAACTTCCTTTAGTGGCCATGAATAAAGAAGAGGCACACTTTAAAATATCTCAAAGTCAATTATCCAAAACCCACTGTGGATGAAATTAAAGCAAAGCTCTGCTGGTCAGTAGGGCTAGATAACGTTGTTATTAAGTGCAATTGGCCTTTAATTGGGCATAATGCACTCCTCCCGTCTTTTTTAATTATTTTGGGTTAAGCCGCCCTTCAATCCATGCCAGCAGCTGCTGCAAGCTCAGCTCTTCAATGCAATTATCTGTAGCATTAATGATTTTTGACCAGTGGTAATGAATGGCTTCGGTCTAAAATCCCTCCCTCAATGAGGTGTTTGTTTGTGGAATATGAGTCCTTGCTGCGAGGACGATTTCCTCCGATTATGAGTTAAAGATGAGGACACGGAGAAGAGTAAATATCACACTCGCTCACATTGGGTGGTCCTTAAATTCAAGGCCAGCTTGGAAAATAAAGTAAACGCTGAGCTGGTTCATTTATTGATTAATTTGAGTTAATAGTAGTTTTTATGTGTTTAATTGTTGTTGCTAATTTAATCATAATGTGCCTTTTTCTCTCTGTATTTTAGGCTCACAAGTATAATATGGAACAACACTGTTTCTTCTATTTCACACAACAAGCTTTGTAAAGGAAATGACTTAATTTATATCCCCATTCTTACAGCCCTCATGCTTACAACCTTCATGACAGAAATTCCAGTCTGCTGCTGAAATATATTGGCTTTCCCTATCACTGTAGATGTGCTCTAAATCAACAAAACGGGCTGAAACTGCACACGTGTTCTCCCGGTGATTGATCTCTGCATGGTTTCGGCTTCGCGGTAACATATTGCTGCTGCTTTTCATACAGCTATCGATTATGCATGCTCCATTATTGTAGTTAATCCAACACAACACACAATGACTGCAATTAAGCAGGCAGACAATAACCTACAATTGCAAGTGACACGTTCTTCATTTTTGTTACTGATGCACCTTCCGGAGGTGCAGTCAAACTCTGTTAGCCGAGCACGGCTGAACACAAAGGCTGCACATTATGCACAGCCGCCATCAATCCACGCCAGAGTGAACGTAGATGGATGGAGTTTCCACCCTGTAATTTACACAGGCTGATTACACCCAAGCCTTCCATACCCTTTAATTACAATAGGTGTCCTTTTGACTAATTGTGTGTTTATACTAAGAGGCTCTGCTGGTATTAATGCACTCTTTTTGCATCCTGAAGCCACTATTCAAAAAGTGTCATCTGGAAGTGCCTGGTAATGAGCAGCAGGATTGTGTGTGTGTGTTCTCATCTGTAGGTTTCCTAATGCTGGAGTTTTGTCTGAGGCGCTGCCTTCCATGACCCTCTCTCTCTTTTTTGTTGTTGTCTGAATAAAAACGTGTCCTCCTTACAGGGTTTGCCTGGCCCTCCTGGTGAGAAGGGAGAAAATGGAGACGTCGGACAAATGGTGAGTGCAGCTCAGGCTGCGGCTTCGCTTTGTTAGAGCCTCACTTCGTCCTCAGGTGCGGCTCATTTTCTGTGAGATGTCGTGCTGATTGTTTTGACGTCACAGGCAGCGTGGCTTAGGCTTTCATTTGTGACAAACGTGCTGAAATACACTTTGCACTTTAACACTTTATGAGATCTGTTTGTCACGGAGGGATTTATTGTGTGACGGGGTTTTTTTAATATGGAAGATTTTTATGTCACTAAACGTAAGCACAAGCATAAGTCTGCATTCGTTTTTGTTTGTTTGTTTTCATCCATGAGCTTTATATTAACATGTTTTTGCACATGCTTTACCGTTGACTTATTCCATAGATTGAGCAAATCTTTAAATGTTCCACTGCTGAACCTCTGTAAAAACCAGGTCATACAGATGTTCTGTAGCTAATTGCATAATTCTCAGCAGCTATTTTTTGTATTGTAAACTGTTTAAATTACTTCTGCACTAAGATGTAATAAATAAATTAGTAGGTCTGTTGTTTATTGATATGAAAGAACCAAATATTCTCCTTTTCTTTTAACTAAAGTTATTTATTTGTAATCTGTGTACAGTTTTATCTAAATAAAACAATGTTTTTTTCAATTAAATGTTAACAATTTAGGAAAAAAAGTCAAAAAATGTGGCAAAACATAAAGTGACATTTTTTTAATCCTCTCCACGACAGGGTCCACCAGGTCCTCCTGGTCCCAGAGGTCCACAGGGCCCCAGCGGAGCTGATGTAAGTTTGTTTTCTTGTTTTTATTTACTTTTAAGATTCAGTTGTGCTCCTCATTTCAAAATAAAAGTTTCAAATTAGTTTAAATCAAAAGAGTGCCTTTTTGATTTCTCTCCAGGGTGCACAAGGTCCTCCTGGAGGTATTGGTTCAGCGGGAGCCGTTGGTGAGAAGGTATGACCCTGGAGGCTGTTGGTTTACATTTTGGTTTCTGCAAAACTAATTTACTGACATTATTGTTGAAAAGATCAGAACTGTTTATTCTGTTAACCGTTCTTCTGGTGACAGACGTCGCACAATTTAAAGACGTCAAAAAGATGACAACTGAAATCAAAACGAGCTAAGGCTGGGTTGTTGTTATACCTTTTCACTGCGACTTCACAGGGAGAAACTGGTGAGGCTGGCAACCCGGGACCACCTGGAGAGCCTGGCATTGGAGTAAGTTTAATATTTCATAAAACTAATCTTCACTTATCATGTATTAATAACAAAAAAACACCTTAAAGCACTTAGGGCTATTTCTCAAAGCATGCATTTCTTACTTTGTTGTTGTTTTAGAGGCTTTCTCACAGATGGGAATGTCTCACTACATGAGGATTTCTAGTTCCTGTTAGTTTTTTCTTTTTTGCTGTAACATCCAGTGATGTTGTGTTCGCCTGCAAAGATGTCTATAATTTTTACTTTGAACCTTTAGAAAGGATTACACACATACGTTGTGAAAATCTCAGCTCTGTTCAGATGCATCGATTCTGTGCAGAGCAGGAGCTGCTGCCTGCCTTGGAGCAGGCATGCCTCGCCTCAGTCATGGCTGCGAGACTTGTTGTGTCTGAGTCGGTCAGATTGTATCGATGTTCCCGTCTGCTCGCTCATATCTGTTTACAGTGACAGATAGAGCCAGTGTTGCACATCAAATCCACGTCAATATTTAAGGTTGCCACGCTGGCATTGACGAGAGAAGTGCTCAGCTCTAATGGGCCAGCTAATGAATCTGGACTTGGCAATTACGCCTCAGCTGCCGCACTCAGTCAGAACCGGTGCTTTAAGAACCGGTTTCTGCAGCTCGGAGTAAATAATGCTGAAAACCCGTGGCGCTTTCACGCAACAGATGATCTCAAACTCAAAGTTTTAGTTTTTATGTCGGATTAATTTCTTCCTGTTTACGTTGTGTTTGACGCCAGCTGCAGGGTCAGAATTAACAACACACTTATCTGATGCTGGACCACCGTTTTAATTTCAAAGTTTTGTGAAAGGTTCTTGTGGGACGGCTCTGACGACATGACTTTAATGGGTTTTTTTCCCCTCAGGGTCTTCGAGGAGAGATCGGTGAGAAAGGAGAAACGGGCCCACCTGGAGCTGCTGGACCCGCTGGTGCTAGAGGACCCCCTGGAGATGATGGTCCCAAAGGAAACCCTGTATGTTGGCACACACACACACATACATACACAGAGCAATGATTAACACATCATTAGAGCTGTCAGCAACAGCATGAGTGTGTCATGTTTCAGATCTGTTGTTGACGAGTGTCAAACATGCGAGTCAGTCGTGTCGTTGTCTTAATGTGTCTGCAGGGTCCAGTCGGCTTCCCTGGAGACCCTGGTCCCCCCGGTGAGCCTGGTGCTGCTGTAAGTGCTGACTTTATGCATTCATGCATGTGTTTGAGTTTTGTTTAGAATGATAGTACTCATTGCAGAACGACTAACGAGCCAGTATTAAACTGAAAAAAAAATCATTTGTATCACTGGTGATAGTTGTTAAAATGTATTTGTTTCACAATTTATTTTATTTTATTCTGCATTGTTGCTTACCTACACCTGTCGTGTCTGCCTTATGTAGGGTCTAGATGGTTTAGCTGGTGATAAAGGAGATGATGGAGAGGCTGGACAACCAGTAAGTCTCACTTGATTTGGGAGTTTTTCTAAAAATCTTTTTTTTTCTGCACCTTTTGATTCAATAATTGATTTACTTTTTGTTGTTTTCATGAATGAAATAAATGAATTAACAAAAAAAATAATCTTTCATTTATTTTCCCCTACTTTTCTTATTTTTTCAGCATTTTACATCCTTTTTTTCTAACTTTTGTTAAAATTTTCATATCTGCATACAAAGTCATTTTAATTTCAACATCTAGTTCAGTCATTTAACACAACTTTTTTTAAATTCATTTTTCACTTTATGCTGTTTAATAAAACGTAAAGTTTTTTTCCAATGACAGAGCTGTCTCATCATGGGATATTGCTCTGAAGTGGAGCTAAGTGTGTTTTATCTGCTCTACTTTAGGGCCCTCCAGGTCCATCCGGTGAAGCTGGAGTACCAGGACCCCCTGGCAAAAGGGTGAGCACTTCTCAAAGTGACACATCCAACGATACGTCTGTTCAACTTGTGAGACCGTCCCTATTTTTAAAGGGCTCTTAATCACCCCCCGAGCTACTTCACCACCTTCTGATCCATATTTATGATCACGTGTTTGAATTTCAGAAGGATTTTCCTGTGTTTCCCAGAATATTAATCCAATTAGTCAAAATTAATCTTTGAGTGGGAAGTAATTGCAGAAAAACATTATAATTTAAGAAAATATTGACCTTTGGAGAGTCCAAGTGGAAGGAATGAAACGTAATAGAGGAATAAAGTTGATGCTGATGTCGGGGAATTATTTTTTTATTAGTTTGTGGCAACAAACTTGAGTGGATAATTTTTAAATTAATTTAAAAAACAGACATATAGTCCACACTATTTCTATTTTCTATTTTTTAACCACTCATTCCATCATAGCAGGGTTCCTGCGGATCCTTAAAAAGTCTTAAAAGGCATTGAATTTAGCTGTCCCAAAATAAGGCCTTAATTAGCCTTAAAAAGCCTGAAATCGATCTTTCAGAGGTCTTAAAAATATGATGATTGTAATTCCTCTCAAATATTTAAAGAATTGGTAACAATTATTTATCTTTTTAAATAATTTATTGAATGCCCTTCACAGCTAGTTGTTTTGTATAAAAAATGGCTAAAATTGTTGCTAACTGGGTTTTTTTCCCACTTGTGTTTATTGTGATATTAGTCTTAAATTTAATTTCAAGTGGCATTAAAGAGGTCTTAAAAAGACTTGAATTTAACTTGCCTTAAACTGTAGGAACCCTGCATAGGTAAACGGTAAATGAAAAGTTTAAATGAATCTAAGCTATGCAAAATTCCAAGCTTGTAATTTAGGGGAAAAAAGAGGGGTTTGCTATATAATAGCATTATAAACATAAAGCACGCGAGTTTAACACAACCAGGACGGCTGATTATACGTTCTAAAACATTTGTACAGTTCACACTTTTACGCCGCGCAGAATTAGCATCCCTCACGGTCGTGACAGAACAAATCCGACCCCAGCTCCTCGTCCAGATTATTGGAATTTACCGTCTAATTTTTTCGTCCTTCTCCAAGGTAATTCTGGCTCAGTCTCTTTCACAGTGTCTCCTCAGGAATGGCTCTGGTTTGGTGTTCATTGGTGCATGGAAATCCTTGACTGCATTAGCCCACAGTCATGCTTTGCCGCACACACAGGCATGACCCTGCATTCTCATGAGACCTGTGGCTTTTATTTGGTCAGTTTTTAGTTTGAATGCCACAGGTTAGCTGCTGTTTTTTATCACCGTATCTTCAGATTATAGGACAGTTTGTTTTGCGCTGACTGCTCTTACAAACCTCCCTCAAGTTCGAGACTGAATGATCGGTATTCGTTTGAAGCTGCTGCTTTTTAGGAAATCTTACTGAGATGGTTCTTTGAACTAAGGGAGATTTCTGGTCCTGGTTGATGGTTTTTCGGCCACAGAAAAGTCTAACAGGTTCGTGTTCTTCACAGGGACCTGTTGGACAAGCGGGTCAGGAGGGCAGACAAGGAGAAAAAGGCTCCAAGGTACGTTCCTGGAACTAACTGCATTCATTTCAATCAGCTTTTTAAACAACTTTACGATTCTTGCTGAACCTAATTTTTTTATTACTTTTAAAGCTGTTGTTTTTATTTTAACACTACTTTGATACTGTCACTTTGAGTGTTGTTTTTAAACTAGAAGAATGATTTTTTTTTTTTTGAAAATGCTCTAAAAATTCTTCAAAATGAGAAAAATGTCACAGATCTCCAGGGACACACATTCAACCTATTTTCTTAATATCCTCCTTCGACATCCTGTATTTAAAAAAATACACGAAAAACTACTCGCACGATAAAATGCAACAAAGTCTCTTGACAATCAAAGTATCTGACAGCTTTCTGAAACTCTCTAACATTGTGGTGTTTTCACAATCAAGGCGTATTGAAGAGAAAAAATCTCTTTAAGCTGTGAAGACCGCGTTTGACTCCTGATCAGATATTCAGGATCTGAAAACGTGACAAAAGTCAAACAAAGTCTCGTTCTTTCTTTTGTTGTTCTTACATTTCTCCTCCGCACAGTCGTACACAGACGTCATCTCTTCCCACGTTTAGGTAAAGGATTAGAGTTGATTTGACAAAGACGAGGCAAAGCCTGCGCGAGGATTCGAGGCTGTCAAATCTGGGCCTAATTGCTTGTCAGGATAGTTTAATGCCTCCTTTCTTTCATCCCGGTCAATATTATGTCTGGGAGGGTTGAGTACATGATACATGCTGTTAAATTTCCGCTCAGAGAAAATGGAACGAGACACGGAGACATCTGATCGGTTTGAACGTTGCAAATCCTCAAATCCTCGCACTCTTAGTCCCCGTGACAGGAAATATGTGGAGTTTAAAACGATATACGTGTTGCAAAATATTTACGTTGTTAAGTTAAAGATTTTGTAGTCTAGCAGAACAATAAGAGTTTTAAAGAATGATTTTAAAACTGAGGAAAAACTCCAGACAATGTTTTGCTGATTGAAAAGGTTGCTACAGTTTATTTGAATGTTTAAAAACTTGTTCCTTTTCATTTCACGTGTCTGTAAAGCATTTAAATCTGCTTTAAGACATTTGTTGTTAAATCAAATTTAGCCAGATTGAAGCCCGCGGTGTGATTTTAGGACAGTTTAGTCATTTAAACATACAGTATGTTCAACACTAAAGCAGGTAAATACACACTTTGTTCTCCTGACATACATGAGAGACTTGTATATAATTGGTTTTGTTGTTGTTTTTTTCAGGGAGAAGCGGGAGCAGAGGGACCTGTTGGAAAAACTGGACCTGTGGGACCTCAGGGACCCCCTGGAAAAGCTGGTGCTGAGGGTCTTCGTGGCATCCCTGGGCCTGTTGTGAGTTTTGACTTACATATATATATATATATATATATTGTCATTTTTAACCTTTCTGTTCACAACACTGAAAACAACAGAGAATTAATTTAGAAATAATAAACAATCTTTGAATTCCTGTAAATGGCAAGAATACAAGGTATAGACTCAAAAAATGTAGAAGCACAAGCTTTTCATGCAAAAATGATCAAAATCACCAAAAAAAAAAAAAACAAACAATGGTTTGCTTTTCTATTTTCCAGGGTGAACAAGGACTTCCTGGTGCTTCTGGTCAAGACGGTCCTCCTGGACCTATTGTAAGTTATTTCCATCACGTTTAAGTTTCCTGTTAAACAAAAACTTTACATTTCTAAAAATCTGTTGTGAATGTTTGATAGTGTAACTCTGTTCAGATTTTTAGATGTGTAGCTCACCTATATTAACACAGCTGTTGGTTTAAAACGAATGTGAATTTGGTTCAATTTGACAAAGTGATTTTTCCCTCTCAGGGACCTCCTGGACTCCCAGGCATGAAAGGTGACTCTGGATCCAAAGGAGAGAAGGTAAGAGTTTTTATTAGGATGCTAATCTAAAATTGCTTCATAGTGCGCTTCTCATATCTGCCAATATGGCTTATCTGCAGCTTCCAAAGCAAGCAAACATCTAGGCCTCTGCATTCTTTGCTCGCTCTCTACCAGTGAGATGAAAAAAAATGGCTTAGCTGTGTGAGATTTTCATTCAGTGATTTATGCACTAAATAAATATGCAGAAGTCTGATGATATTGCCTTTGTAGTGGACACTGGTTTAATGGCAGCAGACAGAAGCTGAGGATCAGAACTCTGTCCAACAGGTGCAGAAACAGAGCAGGAGAGTTTAATATGACAACTAATGAACATGCTAATTTATAGGCAATTATAAGAGCTTGGCTAGAGTTTTATTTCTTATTTATTCATTTATTTATTTATTTATTTATTTATATACTAATCACTTTATATAAAAATGCAGGTGATTTTTGCATATTTAATTCATTTTCAGAAACAGTTTCTGTTTTCACCAGCTGATCGTCAGAAATTAAACTTTAATTGCAGTAAAGAAAGGACTCTGTGAAAAGTGGATATTTAAATTAAAAGATGATTTTCTTCCTGTTATGCCTCAGGGTCACCCTGGCCTCATTGGTCTGATTGGACCTCCTGGTGAACCCGGAGAGAAGGGAGACAGGGGTCTGCCTGGACCTCAAGGAGCTGGCGGTGGAAAGGGAGATCCTGTGGGTATCCTGCAGTTTTAAAATAAATCTGTTTCACTCATTTGATTTAGATTGACTTCCTCATCTATTTGACACATTGTTATAACCAGTAAAACAGGAATATATTTTATGAATCCAAGAATATACATTTATTATATTTCAAGTTATCTAATTTCCTCTCTTGTGCATCATCAGGGCATTGGAGGAGGACAAGGTCCTCTCGGCCCTCCTGGTCCTCCTGGACTTCCTGTGAGTTCCAGTTGTTGAACAAATGCATTTTGGTTACACAGCTTTCGTTCATCTTTTAATATTTTATATTGTTTTATCACCAGGGTTCTCAAGGACAGAAAGGATCTAAGGGATCAGTTGTAAGTAAAAAAAAACTCAAACAATTTCAATAATTTTAATAAATTCACATAGCGCTTAATGTTTGAGAGATTTCTTTTTTTTTTTAATTGTCTTTTAACTACTTTTTTGTCAGGGTTCACCTGGTCAGAAGGGAGACCCTGGTGTGATTGGGGTACCTGGACCACCTGTAAGCTACATATTCAACTTCTTTACTGTAAACTAAATATATGTGGGCTTTAAACTTTCTGCTAGATACATGTTTTTGACTTCTCTCTTTGAGATGTGTTGTTCTGTAGGGCAGACTGGGGGTGAGTTGACTCAATATGGTCAATATACAGTGTATATATATATATATATATATATACACTCACCGGCCACTTTATTAGGTACACCTGTCCAACTGCTCGTTAACACTTAATTTCTAATCACTAATCACATGGCGGCAACTCAGTGCATTTAGGCATGTAGACATGGTCAAGACAATCTCCTGCAGTTCAAACCGAGCATCAGTATGGGGAAGAAAGGTGATTTGAGTGCCTTTGAACGTGGCATGGTTGTTGGTGCCAGAAGGGCTGGTCTGAGTATTTCAGAAACTGCTGATCTACTGGGATTTTCACGCACAACCATCTCTAGGGTTTACAGAGAATGGTCCGAAAAAGAAAAAACATCCAGTGAGCGGCAGTCCTGTGGGCGGAAATGCCTTGTTGATGCCAGAGGTCAGAGGAGAATGGGCAGACTGGTTCGAGCTGATAGAAAGGCAACAGTGACTCAAATAACCACCCGTTACAACCGAGGTAGGCAGAAGAGCATCTCTGAACACACAGTACGTCGAACTTTGAGGCAGATGGGCTTCAGCAGCAGAAGACCACACCGGGTGCCACTCYTTTCAGCTAAGAACAGGAAACTGAGGCTACAATTTGCACAAGCTCATCGAAATTGGACAAGAGAAGATTGGAAAAACGTTGCCTGATCTGATGAGTCTCGATTTCTGCTGCGACATTCGGATGGTAGGGTCCGAATTTGGCGTCAACAACATGAAAGCATGGATCCATCCTGCCTTGTATCAACGGTTCAGGCTGGTGGTGGTGGTGTCATGGTGTGGGGAATCTTTTCTTGGCACTCTTTGGGCCCCTTGGTACCAATTGAGCATCGTTGCAACGCCACAGCCTACCTGAGTATTGTTGCTGACCATGTCCATCCCTTTATGACCACAAAACCGTTACTAGCGTGGTGTACCTAATAAAGTGGCCGGTGAGTGTATATATATATATCATGTGACCAAAGTTAGTAGGAAGGCATAGGTGTCTGTGAAGGTAAGAACCACATAGTTAAAGTTGTTAGTTTTATATTTTGTTTTTTTATATTTTATATTTTCTTATATTTCTAAAATATATATATACATTTTCACCTTTGAAAGTGAATTTAGTCTATTATAGTTTTAATAGGAATTGTGCTTAGCCCATAATAGATATTGATGCATTTGTTTTATGCATCAAATTTGTATCTGTGAGCTACAACATGAGGTCATAAATCTAGCATAAAAGTGCAGCATTTTAGCTGTGGGAAGAAATAAAGTGAAAATGGAAACTTTGGGGTGAGTTGAGTCACTTCTGTTAGGAAACGGTCGTTATGGAACAAGGATTCACTTCTAGTGCTTTCTTCCCAAACGTTAATGTTCACTTCCTAAGTACTCTTGAAAGCATTCTGGGGTTTTTTAATAAACAGCAGTTTAACAGTAATTTGTAACAATAAAAAGGTTATACCTATTGAGTTGACTTGACGGGGTAAAAGTGTCTTTTATTTAAGGAAGGGAAGATGAGTGAGTGGTACGGTTGAGTTGTGGGGGAAGGATGGAGGGGTGGATTTTAGGGACATAGCTCAACTTACCCCACACCTGTGCAAAGCCGACCCCATATGTGACCCATCATATTGAAATGAGGATTAAGACAAATTTGGCCAAAATGACCTAATTACATTTTCAGATTTGTGGCTTTAAAAGCTACATTTTGATACCTGGATCATCCTGATATCTTAAGCTTATCCAGAGATATGACTTGATTTGTCTTGTTGGTTACAATAATACATTACTCTTTGGTCTGAATCCTAATTTTATGTAAATTTATTGAGTCATTTTTGATGTCATTATAAAGAGGATATTTCACATAGTATTTCAACATTGAGATCTCTCAGTTGGAAATAAACAAAAGCATAGCTCACGTGGAAAAATTCTAAATTTTATGACATTTTTCTGCAAAATCAGGTTTTTTGTTGCTACTGCTCAAAAACATTATTCAAAAAAATGTTTAGTATTATATTTCAGAAAGTTCATTCAAATAATACATTGATAAGATATTAATTCATTATATTTTGACAAAAGGCAGTTTTTGCACACGTTTAAGTCAAAACCCTATATCTGCCTATTTCTCTACATTCCACTTTTGGACTTAATCCTTGTTTCGATGGGATGGGTCACATGTATGGGGTAAGTTGTGCCATGAGATAACTTTTTTGGGCATATATTATCGAAACAGTTATGTTTACACTCATTCTGATGGAAGAGAGGCAGATATATAAATAAGAGACTAAATTATGGTTGCCTTAACGTAGTTATCCTAAATGTGAAAAATGGCTCATCTTATCCCAGTCTCCCCTATAAATATATATTATTGTGGCAAATAATCAACTTCTCTTCAAACTTTGTGCTGCAGGGACCACCTGGCGATATGATCCAGCCACTTCCCTTCCAACAGTCTAGCAAAAAGAGCAGGCGGCAGGCTGACGTGCAAGGAGACGAGGCGCTGGTAGACTACGGCACGGAGGGAATGGAAGACGTCTTTGGATCGCTCAACAACCTCAAACAGGACATCGAGCGCATGAAATTCCCCATGGGCACTCAAGACAACCCTGCTAGGACCTGCAACGACCTGCACCTCAGCCAGCCCGACTTCCCAGACGGTACAATGGAGAATATATTTTGGAGGGAAAATGTTTTTTCCCTCCATTTGTTTAGTTCAGGAGGAGAAAAAAGACAAACATTGCAGAAACAAAAGCTTTGGTCTCATGGATCTGTTTCTCTCTCAGGTGAATACTGGATCGATCCGAACCAGGGCTGCATCGGAGACTCCATCAAAGTGTTCTGTAACTTCACAGCAGGTGGAGAAACGTGCATTTACCCAGACAAGAAATCCACAGGAGTAAGTAATGCTGTTTAACGACACACAGAAGCAAACAGGTGTGGTAATTTATAAAGCACCACGCTATGTTTGGATAAAATAACAAATGATCTGCTTTGAAGAGTAAACCACAGGCTCCGAGTTCTTCGATAAGATTAGAAACGAGGCACGAGGGGAGGTTTTGGAAACTTGCCATGCTGAATCTCTGTCAATAACTTGATTTTCTTTTTTCTTTTTTTTTTTTTTTGCAGGTTAGAATGTCCAACTGGCCCAAGGAGTCTCCTGGTTCTTGGTTCAGTGAATTCAAACGAGGCAAAATTGTGAGTCCGCCCTTCCAACTTTCTTTATTTAATAACTCCCAACAGACACTAGCAGGCATTTTAAATGAAGTTTGTCAATTTACATTTTATTTGCACATCATCTCTCCCTTTACATAATGTCCTATTTTTACTCCTTACATCCTAACTTTTCACCTTTTATGTTCCTCTCATTTTTCCTCTTCTCTCCTCTCTTTTCCCCCTCTCTTCATCTTGCCCCCTAGTTGAACTATGTCGACGTGGCGGAGAACACCATCAGCCCGGTGCAGATGACCTTCCTGAAGCTGCTGAGCTCTTCGGCTCGGCAGAACTTCACCTACAACTGCCATCAGTCGGTGGCCTGGTACGACGCCAAGGCTGACGGCTACGACAAGGCGCTGCGCTTCCTGGGCTCCAACGATGAGGAAATGTCTTACGACAATAATCCTTTCATCAAGCCGCTGATGGACAGCTGCTCGGTAAATACGCCTTTTTTTCCCCCATTTGCAAGTTTGTAATTAAACTTTTTTTTTCTAAAATCCATAAAATCCCACTAATCCTTGCAAAAAATGCAGAATGTTGTAGAGAAAAGTCAAAGTGTTTATATTGGATGTAACAAGAAGAATGCAGTCTCAGAAAAATTGAGGCTCAGAATGAGTAGTTTAAAAAATAAGCTGTTTTGTTTTTTTTTTGGTAATCTGTACATTATCCAATTAAAAAAATACAACTAAATTAAAAACAAGAGAATCTAAATCCCATAAAGGAAGTAAAGTTTGAATAAAATACATGCAAATGCGTTCCCTGTAGAATGTTTAAAATGCGGTTCAGCTCGTTTAAATGTGATTAAACTTTGATCAACAAGCCTGGCATCTAATCACAGAAGCCGTAGACATTAAGCCTAAACAGGTCGCTCATAAATCTACAGAAGATTTCAAAAGGCAAAAGAGAAATTAAGTCATGATTGGTTGGAAGATATTTAACATAATCTACACTGTTTCTTTGGCCTGTAGTTGCTGAGGACCTACTTTTTTTAAAGTTCAGTTTCAGTGATATGCAGTGGTGGGCACCAGCCTGCTAAAGCGCAAATCCACTGATTGTGGACCTAAATATTTTGTTTGCGCTTTAATGGTTTTACTAATTTTTATATTTCATAAGTGGATTTGCGTTTTCTAAAATTAAAATGCAGTACTGCTAATAACTAATTATCTACCAGTTATCATTATCTTGAACAGCGGCAGGTAT